AACCTAAGTGGTTGCCATGCACAGCTGCTCCAGATTCTGTCCACTCCAGTTTTAGTAACATCCCCCCCATTGTGTTTTGGGGGGTTCTGCTTGCACAAGAAAGCGCTTCCAATTCGCTGGTTATTTACCCTCAAAGCAGTAAAATATGTTCACATTGTCCTAGTTTTCTTTTTACATTCCTCCTGCTGCATGCGGCCACGTGAACAGACGTTACATGATGCATTATATGAGGATTTGAAGTGTTTTTTTGGTATGATGCCAGGCCATTTAGGGGATCTCCTCTCGCAAATATTGCTGTGCTTTGCTAGTAAGCATTGGTGAGCTCACTATAAATTGGGAGCACCATGTAAACCCAGTAGCTCAGGCTTGTCTTGCAACATTTAGTGGGCTCAGTTACTGCACACCCACATGTAGCTTCACTGTCTAGTCACAAGCCGGGAGACCGAGATGATCTAGCTGTTGCTAACATAGCTACATCCAGTGTGGCAAATATTTATTTGATCCCCTGCAGATTTTGTAAGTTTGCCCACTTACAAAGAAATGAAAGATCTATAATTAGTATCACAGGTGTATTTTAAATGATAGAGACAGAATATCAACCAAATGACCCACCTCCCGGCTTCCTGATTGGCCGAGATGCTGGCGCCATGCTCACTGGCCGGGAAGCCGGCTTCACTGCCATTCAGCATCGAGCCAGCCGAACAGCCGCCTCCTCGCTGATTGGCCCGGGAAGCCTGCTTTCTGGCCAATCAGCATCAAGCCGGCTTCATGTCTGGCTCAATGCTGATTGACTGGGAAGCCGGTTTCCCCGGCCAAGCACAATCAAGCCGGCCAGACAACATGGAGCCAGCTTCTCGGGCAATCAGATTTCCCTGGGAACCCGGCTCTATGCCAGCGGAAGCACCGGTATCAGTACTCGGTATCGCCGAGTACCGAAAGCAAAGTATCGTTACTCGATAGCGAAAAGACGACATTGGTGCATCCCTAATACAAATCCATCCACAACTCTGCCCCGAGCTACACCTCCAACCTAGTCTCACAATATCACCCGAACTGTCCTCTTCACTCCTCCAATGACCTCCTGCTCCCTCATCTCCAGGACTTCTATAGAGCCTTTCCCATCTCTTACTCCATCTGCCTTTTAGGTGATCCCTGAAAACGCATCTCTTCAGGGAAGCCTATCCCACCTCCACCTAACCACTGATATTTTACATTCTCCATCAATTCATCCCCTCAGAGTTGTTACCTTTTAGATTGTAAGCTCTCCTGCGCAGGGCCCTCCTTACCATCTTGTCTTGTATTGTACTGTACTGTCTCCCTTGATTTTGTAGCACTCTATGCAATCTGTTGGCGCGATATCCTGTATTATAATAATATTTGTGGCTGTGTACATCTGATCTGTTTAGTAATCCATGAAATCTCCAGATCAGAAGAAGTCAATGCCGCACCACCTTCATTATCCTGTCTGTTTGTGATCCCACTTTATCTCCACGGGCCATCATGACCTGCTGATTAAGTCTAATGACACTTGATTTGCTAATAATTGGGCTTCATATTGCCATCTACCGGCAAAGGTTCAGTGTTTTATATTGATAAACCCCGTTTTCATCGCACAGCTCAACAAAGAGTCCACTCAATAGAGCGGCACAGTTGTGGCGGAAAGTTGACATTTCCAAATGTCAGGAGGTAACTCGCACAGCTACCATTTCTTAGCGCGCCTTCTGAAACTTTCACTTTGATGTATTGAATTCTGCAACGAAGACCAGTTGACTTCTGCCATCTGTCGTTATTTGTTTCTGCTTTAAAGAGCATGTGAAGCCGCTGCTTGGACTTAATATAGGTAGATACTGAGCTAAATAATGTGACTGACTCCATGTGTCCGCCATTTTGGTCTGGCAGAGCCATGCCAATAGCCTTGGTGTGAACAGTGATATATGGCAAAGGTTGCTTTAGAACAAAATCTGGCCACCTACCCACCCACAGCCTGCAAAGTATGAAGAATAGCCTGCTCATTGTGAACTGACCTGGCCTTAGAAGCAAATAAAGTAACAACATTGCTCCTTGTGGGGCCTGCAAGTACCTGTATTTGTCCTCACATCAATCCTTGTGGGGCCCCTGGGTTCCTAGTAGGACCTTGACTTCTCTATAAGTCAACCTTGAAGCCCCACCCTTTTTATTTAGATACCTGGGTTCCTAGTAGGACATTGACTTCTCTATAAGTCAACCTCGAAGCCCCACCCTTTTTATTTAGATGCCTGAGGCTCTTTTGCCCACTGAGGTTCCGGAATTTGACAATTGTCTTTGTTGCCGTTCCTCTCACTTCCTTTCCGTCAGCACAACAGGAAGGCAGGATAAATCTCTCCAATGGAGCCTTGGATAGCAGTAAAAACCTGACGGGGTTAAAGCCCTTCTCCGCCCCATCCAAACCTAGAAACATGACACTTTAAAGCTGAACTCCAGACAAACCTCTGCACACACCGATGAAATTCACATAAGGGAGCTGTTTTCCCTGCCAAATAGATTTTTATTTCTATCCATCCAGCCCTTAGATTTACACAGCCACACGAAAAACAGCAAAGCCCTACCTGGCAGGACAGGAGACTTGATTTTCTCTGCTGCAGTTTTACTTCCACTTACAGGTCTCACCCTTTGACTGTACAGTGAAAGAAGAAGCAACACACTGGTGAGTGTGCCACTCTGCTCTATTCTCCAATCGGCATGATCCTTGCAACGCACCTGATTGGTTCCTCCATACTGCTTCTCCCTCCTGACTGAGCGCTGCTGTACAAAAATTGCAACAGGCTGATACCAGGTTGAATTCATGTGCTTCCACTTGCATTGAAGGATGTGTTCATGAATACAGAGCTGCATTTGGCATTGCAGAGATGCAGACATGTTTTGACCCTTGAGGCTCCATTCACATATAGCGTTCACATATGCGGAAGACCGCGCTGCAACGCAAACGCTAAAATATTTCATCCACACAGATTCCACTAATTTTCGGCTACTATATAGACGCAAACGTGCGGAATTCGTCCAAAAATCGCGCCTGGACTATTTTGCGGGCCGCACGGTCTCGTACCGCAAAAGTCTGAACACTGTACATTAAAGTGCGTTTTTTTGTGTCTTTAGAGTGGCTCTGTGCGTATTCAGCCGGCCGAATGCGTGCGGACAACCGCTCCAGTGCGCATGGAGCCTAAAGGCTGTGATGCACTGCAGGCAAAGTGATGCGAAGCGAAAAAATTGCAACCTTCCACTATACAAGCATTTGGATGTGGGTTTCCCGTATTGCAGGGATAGGCAACCTCAGCACTCTAGCTGTGGTGAATCTACAAACCCCGTCCTTGCCTCTGGGAGTCATGCCTGTGGCTGTCAGAATCTTGCAATGCCTCATGGGACTTGTAGTTCCACAACTGCTGGAGTGCCGAGGTAGCCTACCCTTGCCGTATTAAAAGTGGGGGTTGTAAGAACCGACATGTCCACACACCGGCCTAATAAGGAAGGTCAATACACTGCTGGTCATCACCTTAATTCATTCACTCCATACTGCTGCTGTTAGCACTCGCACACTTTACACTTCATACTGTATTTGCATTTTTAGTCTAATTTAATTTTTAATATTTAAATTTTAACATTGATATTTTATTTTGTGATGAAAAAGTCTTATATTATTATTGATTCTTCTCTCTACTTGTTCTCCCTTTCCTTCTTGCAGTCGTGTAAGCATTTCACTGCATATCATACTTGTACGATTATGTATGTGACAAATAAATAAATCTAATAATCTAATAATAAAAGTGATAGCCTCTAGCTTCTAGCACTATAAGAGGGCGCTGTAGGGGAAGATGGCGCATCACCGTAGTCCATGTTTCTGCTCTGATTCTCCCGTCATCCTATCGGTTCCCGTTCACCGCTCTGAGATGGGGGTTGGCCGCTTATGGGGCAGGTGCAAGGAGAGCACGGAACATCTTGTCACACGGGCCATGCCTGAGCTCGCGCGACGATGCCAGAGCGGCACTCCATATGATTACAGGTTAATTAAACACGACTTCTGTGTTTGTTGTATGAAAACCATTGACAAAGCATCACCTATATATACAGCAACATGCTGAGCCTTTTATATTTACTGGTAAACATCGTTCTGCTCTAATGTAGATGTGAGGAATGGTTGTGGTTGATGTTCTTTTTCATTTTTAGCTTACACATTTATAAACTGGTGCATCTCTTCACTGATCTCCCCTAATAGTCCATCTAGATCCCATACAGCTTGGCTAAAGAGGGAGAGATTTGGCCCTCGAAGCACAATGCCTGTTTTATGCAATCATAATATGAACTAGGGATGCGCCGATACTGGTTTTTCTGTATCAGCACCGATATTTTGCTTTTGGTACTCGCCAATACTGAGTACCGATACCGGTGCTTCTGTTGGCATGGAGCTGGCTTCACGGGCAATGAAGAAGCCGGGAGGCAGGTAATGACATTCCGCCCGGCTTCCTGTTTGCCTGTGAAGCCGGCTCCTTGTTGTTTGGCCAGCTTGATTGTGATTGGCCGGGAAAATCGACTTTCCAGCCAATCAGCATGGAGCTGGGTTCCCAGCCAATCAGGAAGCCAGGCGGCGGGTCATTACTGTTCCCCTACGGCACTGTCGGTGAGACGAAATCTTCCTCTGACCGGAAGTTCCGGTATCGGGGAAGGCATCGGAGCATTTGGGCGAGTAGGAGTACTCGCCCAAATACTCAGTATCGGCACCAATACTAGTATCGGTGCATCCCTAATATGGCTTTTTTTTGTATTTACATATTGGAAGCTGACAGAGGTTCTAACATTTCCTCTGTTTCTCCAAAACTTACTTGAGGCTCCTCTGGGGGAGAATTGATGTCAATGGTTTTATGCTTTTCTATGCTTGATATGTCATTTGCATATGGGAATGTTTCTGATCAGATGATCCTGTTCATGTTTCCAGTGGTATTTATATCATTTTACTTTCTTTCCTGCCGTAGATCTCTTCCTCACAACGGTGGCAGACAACAAAGACATCCAGTTTGAGACTTGGGAGAACCAGGTAAGAAACAGATTGAACTGGGTTGCATAAAGTGATCCTGACCGTGCACAAAGAATTTCTAAGGTGACAACGGTGCTGAGGTTTAGACACCTTGTGATGACTTCAAGTTAGGGTTGCCACCTTTTTTTCAAGCGAAACCTGAACACTCTAGCGACGCGCTGACATTTTTGGGGCAGAATGAGTCGTGGAAATTCATATATATATTCAAATTATTCATATGTAAATAGCGCCGTCCATTCATATGCAAATATCACAGTTGAGACTTTTTGCAGTGGGGGGGCCAGTAGTCCCTATCATAACTTTGCTTGCCCCTGTCTGCCTGACATCTCGTGTCCGAGTTTCTGCTGCCATGAAACCCGGACACAGCATTCAAAACCTGGACTGTCCGGGTGAATCCTGGACAGGTGGCAACCCTACTTCAAGTATCTCTATTTTCCTTACAATAAATCCCTGTGGGGCTCCTGAGGCCAAAGCTGTACATGGGACTTATCTTCTCCCCAAGTCAAAATTAAGCCCTGCCTCTCCTGGTACGAAGCCCAACCATTGTCATCTAGCTGTCAACTGCCAAAGCCTCTACCAGCCACTGAGGTTCTGGCTTTTGAATCCTTTTCAATTCCAAATGGGATTCCCTTTACCCCAAATAGACACATCTTAGGGCAGGTCGCCAATTCTCCTCAAAAATGACAGCTGGTGCCCAACTTTTGAGGATTCCACTTGCTGTTGTCAGTGGTGCTGGCTCCTAAAAAATTCTTGCTGGCTCCCTGATTGGACAGACTGGCTACTGAATGCCATATTAATTTGTCCACCCCCATCACCGATTCACTCAGGCTTCCATGGCCATTGGACATCACATCCACCTGACCAAAACATGGCTTGCTAATCCTAATGTCAGAAGCCCACCAGAGGAATGATAGCAGACATTCATTGCCCGTGTGAGTGTAATGGTTTGCTTTAAAGGGAAGCCTGAAGGTTAAGGGTCGTGTTTAGGGATTGAGTTGAAGTTTATGGTTACTGATGGATATTCAGATTATATCATATATACTATTAGATTTTTTGTAGGATTTTTTTCAAATTGTATTTATTTACTTCTTATTTTCAGGTGTAAAATTGCCTGATATGTTTATGCATAAAACCCAATGCCAGTTTATTAGCTGCTCTTTATCTTTAACCACTTGCTGCCCAAAAGCAATTTTTTACATTTTGCACACACATTTTTTTTTTTTTTTTACACTCAGCTTTATTGCTATCGCATAGGGGGCTAACTAGCCCCCTATGTTATAGCAAATATAACGTGACAGGTCCTCTTTATGGAGACATCAGGGGTCCATCAGACCCCTAAAGTGACCTAGGGACCTCAAAGAAGCTGATGAAGCAGAGATCTGCTTCACCAGCTTCTGGTTCTAGGAGCCGGAGAATGTGCCCAGTGACACCGGAAGTGATGTAATGCACATCACTGCAGGGTCAAGTGATCGGAGGAGAGGTCAGGGGCTGGCAGCCGCTGATCTCTCCTCCGATCTATCAGGGAATACCCGCCACGCCGGTCCTGGGCTAACAGGGTGGGCAGTGGAGCACGGGAAGCCAGTAGCGGAATCGGTGACTGCGGAGTGGGGGGAGGGGTACACAGCACCGCACCGTACAATCGATACGCCGGATCACTTGTATTTAAACAGAAGTTGCTGGCTGTTTAAAACGGTACCAAGGAAAAGGAAAGTGCAGCAGCAGCCATGTTCTTGGTATAAGCACTTCCAGCGGAGGACGTACAATTACGTGAACCCGCAGGAAGTGGTTAAAGCCCAATTGTAGGCTCACGCTCTTTGAACGCTTCACATTTTTGAATGATTTTTGCCTTTAAATCCCCTTATTCCCAGAGGAAATTCACTTTTGCCCTCACACTGCAGTGCCCTGTGCTGACAGAGCTAAGTACCTGCCACACCCCTCAGCTCAAAGGTTCTTACACAGGTTTGCATTGGAGAGTAGAAGGTAGGGGCTGTCTTACCAGGTCTATTACTAAGTGCTGATTACTGAATTCACTGGGTCTACCTCTGACTGGTAAGCCACATTTAGACACCCTGCACACCTAATTGAAAAGGAAAGTGCAGGTAAGATTATGCAAATGGTGCAATGTCTATCTCGCTGCATCTACTTATGATACATCCAATGGGCTTTAATGTCACCCTTCGGCTTTACTTGTCAGTATCATGTTATTGATTTAGATTTATTTGAATTTTTCAGTCAACATTTTTGCTTTTATGCTCACATGACATTTAAAGGGCTTGCACCTTCAGCTGGATGCAAATTATGGCTGTGGTGAGGTCTTGCCATCGGTAACGCGGTAACAAATAGCAAATTGAACTTAATCGCTTCTCATGTAGATTTACATGACTCACTATCGGAGCAATCACTCTGCCCTATTGCGTGCATTCCACAAGGTCCCGCTGAGCCGTCAGCTGCCGAACGGAGGACGTGGTATTCCATTCGCCGGGGTGACGATATATAGACACACATTTCCCATTCACAGGCTCCGATACGTTTTAATATTCCGCTGCATGGTTTTTTTTTTCATCTCAGGCCCTCTTCATCTTTTTTACACTAATGGCAACATGTTTCCCTGCAGAGACTCTTTCTGATTGCATTCACATTAATCAGGGCTAGGTAAAGAGGAGCACATTGAGATGTGTAAAACTCAAGTGAGCCTGATTATATAACCCTTTTATTGCTGCTAGACAGCTTAATCTCTCCATCAAAGAGATGTTTTTCTTGCCAAAGAGCCCTAGTAGGCACGGCGGTAAAGGGAGGCTATTGATACGAAACTGGAAATGCGGCGCTTTAAAAGGTTTGTTTAATGGAAACCTATCCTGAAGGAAATATTGCAGCTGTCAATTCTGACCACCTCTGGGGATGTGGGTGGCCTGGGTGGGCTCTGGCTTTGGTACTTTCTGAGCTGCTGACCAGGAACAAGCATTCAGTGAAAGAAGTCAGAGCTGCTGATTTGCATGCTTTCTCCTTGGTCAGTGACTTGGATAATACTAAAGCTAGGGTGTCACAAACAGGCAACTTGCAGGATTGTGAATTGAAGCGCCACACTCCAGGTTGCTGCCAAATCTGCTGCTGAAGAGATCTGTGCCATTCCCACATACTGGACAAAAAACTATATCCACTTTAAAACCTTTATAGTCCTGATGCATGTTATCCCTTATTTTTTTTTCCGGTACTTGCTGAATACCGAGTACCGGAAGTCCCATTCAGGAAGCCAGGTGGCGTGTAAAGACTTGCCACCCGGCTTCCCGATTAGCTGGGAAGCCGTCCCCATGCTTCTCATCACTAGATGACGAGAAGGTATGGAGCCAATGATGATGAGGGTATTTGTATGAGTCCCTTTCCAGTTTAGCTGCCCCTTCCAGCAGCGAGTCAACAGTTCAGCTCCACTTTCCAGCAGTGACTCAGAAGCTTATCTCACCCCTTCCAGCAGTGACGCAGCAGCTCAGCTCTCCCTATTTCCCCCTTTCAGCCATGATTCAGCAGCTTAGCCCCCCTTTCCAGCAATAACTCAACAGCTCAGCTCCCCACTTCCAGCAATGATTCAACAGCTCAGCTCCACCTTCCAGCAGTCAGTCAGAAGCGTATGCTCCCCCTTCTAGAAATGACTCAGAAGGGTATCTCCTCCTTCCAGCAATGATTTAACAGCTTATCTCCCCCCCTTTCCAGCAATGACTCAACAGCTCAGCTCCACCTTCCAGCAATGATTTAACAGCTTATCTCCCCCCCTTTCCAGCAATGACTCAACAGCTCAGCTCCACCTTCCAGCAATGATTTAACAGCTTATCTCCCCCCCTTTCCAGCAATGACTCAACAGCTCAGCTCCACCTTCCAGCAATGATTTAACAGCTTATCTCCCCCCCTTTCCAGCAATGACTCAACAGCTCAGCTCCACCTTCCAGCAATGATTTAACAGCTTATCTCCCCCCCTTTCCAGCAATGACTCAACAGCTCAGCTCCACCTTCCAGCAATGATTTAACAGCTTATCTCCCCCCCTTTCCAGCAATGACTCAAAAGCGTATGTCCCCTCTTCCAGCAATGGCTTAACAACTCAGTTCCCCTCCTGCTGCCTTTCCAAATAACTTACAGCCTAGTAACCCCTGAGTGTTAAGGCTTTTAACAATGCAAGTATAGAAACTGAGGTTATGAGAAATGCTCATCGATTACTAATTCTCTTTAATAAAATAATATTATAACAGTGATAATGTAATGACAAATGAAATATTCAGTGAAGCAGGCGATGTGAATCTGACTCCATTTGTTGGTCTTTTTCATAAAACAATGTTCTCTTTGGAAAGGATAAAAGAGTTTTGTGGACCATTGACTGCAGAATGTACTGGTACCTGGACACTGATAGAACTCTCTGTACTGGCTTTTTTCGCTCTCGACATTCTCACTAATAAATTCTTTGTTTTCTTGTTACAGGGAGGCAATTTCTCCGGGGTCACGTCCCTCGTCACAATGCCTAAAGATGTCAAGGTGGTCGGACAGTCCGTCTTTGCTGACTTTGGTACGTTAAGAGTTCATTCCTTGCATGGACGGTAATGCTGAGAGCGATTCCAGACAGCCAATGAAAATACTCAATTGTTCATTAATAGGGCTTTATTAACATTGGTCCTGCACATCCGTATGGCTTGCATGCACATTCATGGACCTTCTCCTGGGAGGGAAAGATGCTGAGTGTAATTGCATGCAGCCGCCTCTACCTCTCTATGGGAGGACAAGGCTGCATGCCGACCCAAACCTACACATCCGTGCAGGTCTGGGTGCCTGCATTTGGACACAGACAGTGTGCATTCAAATGTGAGCACCTGGACCTGCATGGATGTGCAGGTTCGGGTCGGCATGTAACCACCTGCAGCCACATCCTCTCATAGGGAGGAACAGACGGCTACATGCAATTTCACGGAGCACCTGTCCCTCACGGGAGCAGGTCTCTGCAAGGATGTGCAAGTTCAGGTCAGCATTAAGGACAGGCTCGGGCGTGTTCGCAGCTCCACGTGCCGAGCCCGCCAGGAAGCTGACAGCGCGCAATGCCAATCACAGGTACTGAGACATTTTCCCGGTCCGCAGCTGCAGAGATCAGGAAATGTCTCAGAGCCTGTGATTGTCGCTGCGCACTGTCAGCTTCCTGGCGGGCTCGGCACGTGGAGCTGCGAACACGCCCGAGCCCCCTCCATAGTCAGCATGTAGCCGCATCCTTTCATATGGAGGCAACATGCAATTACACCAACAGCACCTGTCCTTCCAGGGAGCAAGTCTCTGCAAGGATGTGTAAGTTCAGGTCAGCTTGTATCCGCTTCCTTCTATAGGGAGGCCACATGCAATTACACACACAGCACCTGTCCTTCCAGGGAGCAGATCTCTGCAGGGATGTGCAAATTCAGGTCAGCATGTAGCCGCATCCTTCTATAGGGAGGCCACATGCAATTACACACACAGCACCTGTCCTTCCAGGGAGCAGATCTCTGCAAGGATGTGTAAGTTCAGGTCAGCTTGTATCCGCGTCCTTCCATAGGAAAGGACAGGCATTAGCACGCCACACAATTACATGCAGCACCTGTCCCTCTCGGAAGCAAGTCTCTGCATGGGTGTGCACGCCCATGTGAATGATCTCATATTGTCCAGTAAATAATGCAAGTGTGCTGAAGAAGGTTCACTCTGGTGATCTACAAACCCCTGCTTCTGATGAGGAAAGAGATTCTCAAACACACCCATTGCAGGTTCCTTGCTGTTTCTAATATACAAAAATCAGAAGTCACAACCATGCCAATAGCACAGTATATCAAAATCCAAAACGTTTTTTAATTTCATTTTAGTTTTGGACAGTGTAGAGGGATTTGCACTCTCTGTTTGACTTGTAGTTCTCATTGGAATACGCGTGCAGTGACGTAACTGCGCTTGTATTTCCATTGACACTCCCGTCCATGTCGAAGTATTGTCCATACTTCGATACAGACATGGACGGGAGGAACAGGCTGCAGGAGCCAGAGCATTGCACCCTTGATCCACTGATTCCAGTTACAATGCTTTACTGGCTCCCGTTGAGAATGAAGAAGTATGCATTGAATTTGTTTTGGTTTTTTTGCAGCAAAAGCTGCAATTTCCCTTTTAAATCCTAAAACATTTATGAAGGAATCCTGAACAGAAATCATTTTTCTTTGCTGTTATTTTAGTAGTTCCGCATGGAGAAAATTTCACATTTTTTTCCCCAACGCGTCGGCATACAGTAAAGGGGGGACATTTGCCAGGGGCCCAAGGTGTTTTCTCGGTAGGGCACGAGTGTCAGAGAATTGGCGGAGTCTTTCTCGCCTCGCCGCTCTACGTTTCCCCGCTATAAAAATGGGTTTTTCTTTCTTTATTGCTGCCCTCAAGTTGTTATGAAGCCGAATGACTTATAAGAAACGATTCCGGAGTGGATGCCAGCTCTCTCTTGTTTTAATCTGAACCTTGACAAGTATGACGGGAACATCGCTGAGGTCACCCGCGCTGATAGATTGTGTGCGTTATTAAGTGCAGCTTCCGCTTTATTGCTGCACATGATGAAGTTCTTGTAAGCCGGTCCTTCTGTTACGCAGAAAAAGGAAGAAAGAAATCCATGTTTGGCGAGCCAGCCAGGGTCTGCTCGCTCTTTACTCTCCAGTGTATTTATAGAGGTTCGGGTATAGTAAGCCTGCCACAAGCCGGGGACATTTAAATGGAACTATCATGAGAAGATGTGTAAGCAGATGTTACCTTCAAGTCAAAGCCATCGATATGTGCAGACACGTAGACAGCCCATGTTGTATGTGAATCTTTACATCTCCTGTAGAACTTGAGCTTGGTATCGCCTCCATTCTCCTAAGTAGGGATGCACCGATACCGGTATTTCGATATCGAGTACTGATATTTTTTTTTCCGGTACTTGCTGAATACCGAGTACCGGAAGTCCCATTCAGGAAGCCAGGTGGCGTGTAAAGACTTGCCACCCGGCTTCCCGATTAGCTGGGAAGCCGTCCCCATGCTTCTCATCACTAGATGACGAGAAGGTATGGAGCCAACTTTCTGGCCAATCAGGAAGCCAGAAGCTGTGTAATGACGCAGCACCCGGCTTTCTGAATGGCCGGGAAGCCTGCTCCATGCTCCATCACCATGAGGTCATTACACGGCGCCTGGCTTCCTGATTGGCCAGCTTTCCGACCAAGCCGGGCAGCCCGTCATTACATGATGCCCGGGACGAGAGAGCATGGAGCCGGCTTCCCGGCCAATCAGGAAGCTGGGCAGCGTGTAATGACACGCTGCTTGGCTTCCTGATAGCGGAAGTATCGGGCTAGGCATTGGGGCCTTTGAGCGAGTACAAGTACTCGCAAGTACAAGCACCACTGCAAGCGTGACAACACTGTTGCATGAATTGATGGCAGAACGAACATTGTTGTCAGTGGGTCTTAGGAAGTTGAATAAATACAGCTCTGCTGGCAGGATCAATAAAGCTGTTACAGGGGGGAACCAATTTTGGTTCGCAACCAGAATCGTGGAACTCACACATACAGTAAACAGAGGAAGCTTCCTTCACGTAGCAATCTCAGCCATTATCGTGTGTGAGAGATGTTTAAATGTCAGCTAAGCCTACAATTTATATGATAAAATATGAATTTATTCGGCTCCCTAATAGCATTCACAATTATATTCATCAGTATGAGCTGCACACACACCGCAGACTGGGAAAAAAACCTAAAAAGTAATTATAAAGCCCACAGGTGCCGGTATTAAACGCCGAATATTTATCATTCTCATCGACAAATCCCTCTCGCTTTCTTGGGGTTTTTTTTTATACATAGATTTTTTTTTTCAGTGCATTTATTTTAAATTGTGCCCCTGAAGCAGATCTTTACTCCACTGTGAACGTAAAGCCATGCTAACAGCCGCTGCAGGGAGTGATGATGCTGTGGGCTCCCTTCAGTGGGGCCCATTTCTGAAGCCTGACTCCTGCCAGGAACATTTTATTTTAGGTTTTAGTTAGCATTTGATCGCCTGGGACATGTTGTGTATACTCCCCAAGTGGTATTTTTTAAAAGTTGGGTTTAGTCAAAGCCCAGCTCTGGGCACAAGCAAAAAAAAAACTGTGGGGGGCTTGTGCCTGCAGCATGTGCCAAGCCCTAATGAGGGGGGACCTGTTGACCCTCTGAAATGCGTTAGCTTTAAATCAGTACTGCCGGCCGCAGTCACACAGTCACCTCCCCTAATACTTACCTTCTCACTCCGGCAGTCTCCCTCCATCCTCTCAAATGTATTGCCAGCCGTGGTCACACAGGCCCTATGGACAGTACAGGTGATGACACCAATGGACAGCCCAGAGCCCGGATGGTCAAGTGGAAGAGGAGAGCGCCCGAGCCTGCTGGAGGTCTAGCGTTCCTGTGGCAGGAAACAGCAAGGAACCTGCAATGGGTGTGTTTGAGAATCTCTTTCCTCATCAGAAGCAGGGGTTTGTAGATCACCAGAGTGAACCTTCTTCAGCACACTTGCATTATTTACTGGACAATATGAGATCATTCACATGGGCGTGCACACCCATGCAGAGATCATTCCTGCTGCATGAATGCCAGAATGCCCCGTGTGAATGAGGTCTAAGAGATCAGATTTCAGGGGGAAGCGGCAGTCACACGGGGTAAGCTTGCCGGAGGGAGAATTGGTATGATTTTAGAGCTTAGTCCTCCAGACCATGGGTGGGCAAACTCCGGCCTTCCAGCTGTAGTGAAACTACAAATCCCATGATGCTTCTTTCTCCGGGAGTCGTGGCTGTGAGAATCTTGCAATGCCTCATGGGATTTGTAGCTCCACCACAGCTGGTGGGCCGGAGTTTGGCTACGCCTGCTCTAGACCAAGGGTGGGCAAACTCCGGCCTTCCAGCTGTAGTGAAACTACAAATCCCATGATGCATCTGTCTGGCAGTCTCGCAATGCCTCATAAGACTTCCACAACAGCTGGGCGGAGTTTTCCCACCCCTGCTGTAGACTTAACCAGCATTTAACCCTTGTGGTGTATCATCATCTGTATTGTACATAGAGGAGGTGACTGACCACGCCCGGGAGTACCTTACAGAGGGTAAACTCTTTATAATTGCTCAGGGTCCTAGAATAGGGTGCCCAACAAGCTCATATAAATGTGATGGTCCGGTGCCCACCAACATTTGGCCATACAGTGTATTTGTAATACTTTTTGGCAGGAATCACCCCATTGGTACGTGGTATTTCCCTTTCATTGGCCTACAGGTCCCCCAGAACACAAGACATGTTAGGATGACAGCAAGAGACAATGCCATTCACTGTGAGTGACAGGTCCTCTTCTACAGCAGTTTCCTTATACAAAAAAAAGTCTAATTAATTTCCCGTTAAAGCGACCTTTTCAAGAAATGATTATCTCAGCTGTCCACTTGGATGAATGTTATCGCGCTTGATGTAATATTTTAGTAGCCGTGAAATATGGCTCCGTTTTTTTTCCGCAGCTGCAGACTTTTCCGCTGTCCCCTTATCT